CGTAACCAGAAAACCGGGAACACTACACCTATGCAGCAAGAGAAGTGGCTTCAATCTCCTCTGTCGACTCGCTGTCCAGCTCTGAGACAAACTCGACAGACTGGCCGCCCCGAAACCCAACAAGGTACCAATTCAAGCAATATTAATACATGTATATATATATACATCGGTTCATGTTCAATCCACGTAGCAAGTAGGTTATAACATAACTATGGTTACAACTGGGGTAAGTGGGCATACGTGCCTAATAACCGCGGATACAACGTACTTATTCAGTGGCTTGATTATCGAAGTACTGCAACCAAGGCCGACTCAGCTCCAAGTGATCGACAAAAGAGGCACTGAGGGTTTGACTTCAGTCTCTTTCCTTGACCTCCCAAGTCGAACTATTCAAGTGGGTGCGTGTTTTAAGGGCACCCCACTTTTTTGTGTCTTTGAAGGGAAACCCAAAGGACAACCACGATTTTGGGCGACCCCCAAAAAACAAAGAAAAAGACACGCCCATGTCATGTGTGTTCTTGTCGAAGCAGTGTTTGTGGAAACCAAGTGGGAAACAAGCCCTTGGGGCTGTCAAAAACTGGGTCTCCAAACCCACGCTCACTCCGGTCCAGGGATCCCACCGAACCGCTACCACTCCTCTGCACCTGACGTTTCGGGTTCGACGATGTTCGGGGGACCTGGTGGGCCCAGCATCCCTCGATGCCTTCTTCAGAGGAAAAGTCATGCGCTGCGTAAGGAAGGAGCACGCCGACCTGGGAATACGGCAAAAGCCCCTGGGCGGCCCCTTCAAGGGAACAATCTGAAGGAACGTGCAAGATGAGGGTCTTCAGGCCCTCCTTTTGTTTGGTTTTGGAAGAGCCCCAAATCACACCAACCGTTTTGGCGTTCCATGCCAATCAATTTCTCAGGAAACTACCGGAATCCTACAAAAAAACACTGGACATCAGCCATCCACAAGCCCGGATTACTCCAGGAATCGGTCAAAAATTTGGTCTGAGGCCGGGGCGTCTGCAAGGACCAGCCAGCAAAAACGCATGCAACCACCAAGGCCACCTGAAAAAGAAAAATCGGAAGCGTGGAGAACTTCGTCGGGGTGATTTGAGGATACCCTTTCTGGGTGGAAAAATGGGGGCAAACCCACATGTCCAACCACTGACCAGGTATGACCTGTCCAAAGTGGAAGTGAACAGGGAGGGTCCCCAAGTGGAAAGTGGTCTTCCCACTCCTTCCTGTCAGCTTCCATGATTGTTTGCAGGAGTGTCAGCATGGTTATAAGTGGAACAGGGGCTGGTTGAGATATCATCTCGGTTGCATATCCTACTAGGTTCAACAACGCAAGTACCTCTGCCAGTGCTGCTGGAAAACACAACAAAGACAAGTACCCGTGCAAGAAGCTCGATGCAATTCAGCCACACGTCATGAACACGAATCTCGTGGGGAGGTTTGACCCCCTTTTCGACCAAAAGGGAGTTGATTTGCCTGGGGAAAAGTATCTCCTGGCGATGCCGACCAAAATCCGTGACCCGCCTGCATCAGGTCTTGCATTGCAATCCACATCCTTGGTGGCAAAGGTTTTTGGAAATACGCGGATTCGGAACCACGGAAAACGTGACTAAACTATTTGGCCGGCCAGAAAGATTAGAAGACAACCACAACTTGCAAAATCCACAGGTCAGCTCGCAAGCATTCTCGCCCCAATTGGCTCTGCCTTTTCACCGGCTGCTGTTGGTTGCGGGCCTGCCAAAACGAATTCGGTGTTGGCTCCCCTTTTGATGAAAAAAAAGAAGAAGAAAAAAGGAGTTCTTGGGCTAGTTAGCAAGACCGGCTACTGTATTGTGAATGCCGATACCATGCATTGCTCACCAAGGTTTGATTTTCCGAACTCACGGGCCCCGTCCGAAAGCCAGGCGGCATTGGGCCGGTCATACTGTATGGAGAGCTTCCTCGAAGGACACCTGGCAAAGGTGCTGAGAAAAGGGGTGTTTCCTGAATCATGGGTATGGACTTATTTCAAAAAACCTTTTTGGTGAACATCGTTTGGGAGGGAATTCATGTCCGCCAAGCACTTTTTGAGGTGGTTCCTACGATCAATTCATGGCCACGTCACCCCAAAGGAATTACCCTCCCATCAACAAACTTGGCTTGGTGCACAGACTTTTGGAAGATGCCAAGGGAGCCTCTGCAGGATGCACTTACAAACGGTCGTTTGAGCCTTTTCATCCTGGAAAAGAGGCTCGGATTGAGCCACTCGAGCCATGAAAACTGCACCAGGCCTGAAGGAGAATGGAGGGCTAACAGTCTTCAAGCTCAGCCTCGGTCCGAAGATTTCGGTGAAAGCTGCCACAAAGAGCTTGGCAATTGGAAGCCATCACGAGCTCTCTCTCTCTTGGCTCGTGCATGGTGCATTGCACGGATACTGGCTTAGTCGTTCAAGTTTGCTGGATTGCAAACATCGTCAGCGAGAACCACTCCTCCCAATCACCTTTTGCGAATTTGACAAAACTTGGCTACAGAGAACTGAACCTGGCAGACCGAGCCCCCGTGCCAAGCTGAGGAGGAGAGTGCTAGCACAGAATAGGAGTACGTAAATTGGGCTCAACGGAGAACAGAGCCTCAAAATGGCTGCGGTACGCATGAAGCTTGGGCTCATGCAAGCACTTTTGAAAACGCAGGGCACGGACGCGCGGCACATGCCTTGAACCTGACGGTTCTCTGAGTCCAAACGACACTTCAATCCAGTCCCCAAAAGGACTCACGGAGAGCACCGAAACGGCTGGACATGCTGGTAACATTGGGGCAAACCTTAATCTGGGAACAACAAGCTGAACATTGCTACGTAGGTCGTCACCCCAGACCTTTGTAACACGGTTTACGAAGAACCAAACAAACATCCAAATCTCCGTGTCCCTCAGGTCCTTAACGTCGAGCCACACCTTGATAAACAAACAACAAACCTCCGTGTCCGTCTAAAACCAGGCGACATCGGTATCGAAATCGGCATCGGCATGCGTTGGCTTTTGCTTCTGGCCCCTTCATTCGCTGTCGCTAAAGAAGAGGTCCCCGGTACCAAGGCCCGTTGGGCGCCTGGGGCCTCGGGGAACTGATTCCGCGGGCGCGGGAGCCGCAAAGTCCTGCGAGTCGAGGGTCGTCGCGTTGGGTCGGGGGGAAAGGACCGCTCTCAACTTCGAGCCTCGCGGTTGCATCTGTGCGGCTGCTATTGAAACTCAAGAACCTCTACCTCCTGCCACGAATCAAGAAACAAGGCGGGTTGGCAGACTCATCTTTAAAAACCTCCCTCGTGCCCACTTCCCGGCACTGAAGAGCCTCGCTCTCTCTCTCCAGCTGCCGACCCGCACAGAAACGGCGTGAGTCCTGCGGGGCCCGCGGCGCCTGGTCAGGAGCTTGGCAAGGCGCGGTGAGGTCAAATTCCAGCTGCGTAAGCGTGTCCTTTTTTCGAGGCCAGCCCTTTTCGGGTGCTTCGGAGAGAAACAAGAACCAAAGAAAACCACTTTGGAAGATCCCATATTTTTGAAACTACTCCAATAACAAATGCAACATCCACTACAAATGATCCAAACATGACATACTATGTGACATGACTGTCATTCCTACTGTTCCAAGGTCGAATGAAGATATATCTTTCCGCGACCATCCTGAGCATTGGTTCGACTGCAACGAGCAGCAAAGACGCGGTGCCTCTTTGGATGCCGCAGGCTCCTAGCGCATGAACGTCGCTTTGTCGTGGTTTTCGAGGGTAGCCTGTTGGGGGTGAACACAGAATCATTCCAAAAGAAACACATTTTGCAGCCTTATTTGACAAGACAAGACTACGTTCCGTCTCTACCCACCGTACCAAGGCTAGATCCAGCTGAAAGGTCTGCACCCGCAAAATGCCGGAACTGTCCAACGGACGTGTCTCGAACTACATCACGAATGGATTGCAATTGATGTTAATTGCAAGCAATCAGAACTCGGGTTAGGCTAGGATTTGATCAGGAAATTCCTGGGGATTGGTTCGAGCAAAAAAGCATCAAGGTCCTACTTGCAGCGGAGTGAAGGTGGAATGGGCACGTGCGGAGCGGAGACAAGAGCCCAAAGTGTTGCTCTCTTGGTGCCCAATGCAACGCAGGATTTCTATCTGGCAGAAAGGCAATGTAACTAGCCACCAGACCAGTTGAGGCTTTGCCAACAATGCCGTCTCTTAGCTTGGAAAAGCCTTGCCTTCTGAGGCAAAGTCTGATCATGCTCGTCTCATGATTGCATGGAGAGAGCAGGTGTTGGTGCTGAGGGAGCGGCCACCCCAATCGCGGACCACACCCCCTTTTGTGAGGTGTCTGTCCGGAAAATGATAAGCATGGCTTGGATTGTCAGTACCCTCGCCTCACAATTCCGTACCCTTCACACTTTCCGGACTGAAATGCAGGCTGAGCTGGCGGGCAAAGCCCACTGCCCCGCTTCAAAAGTCAAATCAAAAGTTGGAGTCGCGCAGGCCCCAGTCCTGAAAAACGGACGCAGATGGCTCACCATCCAACGAAGCAAGTGATCCTCTTCCTTTCCGCTTCAGCCGAGACTTCATGCGCGGTATCACGAAGGCCTTCAACTTGAATGCCGTCGGCATGCGACTCTTCGGGCAGTCTGACTCCAACGACTCGGTGTCCCGACACTCCGGCGACTCGAGGCAGCTCACATCCAAGTGGCAAGTGGGCAAACCTGCCGGATCGCTCGTCGCCAGTTCGACACGCACCATGTCCCGCATGCGCTCCAGCATCTCCTTGTGCTGCTTCATGTGGTCCAGCTCCTGAAGGGAAATCGAAAAGGACCCGTTACCCCCAATCCTGTTCTTTAACCAACAAAGATGAGTCGAAAAGCCTGTGGTTTGATCCAAGTCGTCCAGTTCGTCCCCAGGCTTTGGCTGGGAGATATACATCTGCAACAAGAAGCCCAGGTGCGACAGCACGTTCAGCTGGTGCACCGGTTCCTCGAAGGACATCTGCCACGACACGCACTGTCCGCACGCACGGATTTGGATCGATGCCTCTTCAATGGTATTGTCGCAAAAAACTGAACGCTTTTTTGCAGCCTACTAAAAATGACACTAACAAAAAGAAACGATAAAACCATACCCACAACAGCGAAGATGCTTCCATGATGCGGTCCTTCTGATTTGCCACACCGAGCCTTGCTGAGAATCCGCGCCGTGCCGGCGGCTGACTTTTTTTGCTTGAGCCGAAAGCCCAGATTGGCTCCCTTGTTCGCTCGCCTGCTGCAGGCCGGCTAAAAAAACAAGCGAGAGCCACGGAGGGTAACAACCAAAAGTGAAGAGGACTGAGCAAGCCATACTGCGGATGGACAAAATCCTGCACCAAACTGAAACCGTTGTTTGTTGGTATTTACAGGAGAATCATCATTTCAGGGAAACTTAGGCGGGCATAGTGCTCGGGAATCGCTTGTTGCAGGGCGGGCTCTAAAATCATGTCGAAACACGCACGCCTGGGCCACCTCATACAAAACAAGTCAAGGCTTGGCTGACCTGGCTTTGAACCAGTTTGGCAATGGATCCACTGGATAAGCCGGTACTTCTAGAAGCTACGACACCGTTCCATACGCTTCCATGGTCGCACCCTGGCAAGCCCACAGCGTGCGACGCTCGAGTCCTCGTCCGAGTCCGGATCAAAGAGGCTGTGCGTCGGCGGCCCCGAGACCATCGTCGGGGGCGGCAAAGTGATGCCCTGGCGCTCTCTGCGAATTGCACCCCGAAGCCTCACTTTCAGCTTCCCAACTGGTGGTTTGGATTGGTTTGGTGGTTGAGGAGTAGTGTCCCATTTACCCTTCACAAGAACCAGGGGTTCAAACCCCCAAACCACCAATCGAAACCACCAAGTAAGGGTTACTTGATACATTGCGCAGAAAAGAAAGACACTGACCGAAATAAAGTCAAGCATGCACTGCCAGACGTGCCACTTTGTCAAGTGGCTTGCGAAGCTGAGTCAGCACAATCATTTCCGGGAATTGAAGCGAATAAAACAAATGAGCCTTTGGACGCCAAGGAATGATTCGTTGCCGCCAGGAAACTGAGAAAGGCGAAGAAAAGCCGATGAAGGCTTGACTAGTGACCTTTCTGTTCTCTCTCTCTCTCTCTCAACAAACACCAGCCCTATGAGATGAAAGTAAGTCTGGAAAAGCAGGGTCCGAGAAAAAAGAGAGAGAAAAAAGCCTTCAAAGATTACGTCCAAAAGCCACCTGCTTTAATCCTCCAAACTCAGCCGGTACTTGGGTGATCCTCGAACATAAGCACAATCTTAAGGGAATGAACCAGCTAAAGCCGATGATTTAGGAGATTGCGAAACCAGGATTCACAAAAGCGGAAGGCAAGAAAAAGCTCCCGATATATATATATATATATATATATATTATATATATATATGTAGATATATATACAAATATGCATATATATATATATAGAGAGAGAGAGAGAGGGAGAGAGAGAGAGAGAGAGAGAGGGGGCTCTTCAAGTTGAACAGTCTGGCAAAGCATGGCTCCCAGGATATCCATCCGAAACTTTATGGGTCCCCGGGTTTGCTTCTTTCTTGAGTGGGCCCCCCATGTTTATCCTTTTGGTGTTCCTTCGATTCAACAAGCAACATGTGCTTTTTACCCAAAAGAATCGGTGCCACGGGCCGTTAGACGCCGGAGTCCTACCATGTGCGCAAACCAGTTGGTCTAGGTCCTCCAGTAGAGAGGTTAGAAGGGTACCCTTTTTATCTGTAGCCAATTTTAGTAGGGGAACCCTCCCCCCAAAAAGTTGGTAAAAGGGCACTACTGGGGGACCTAGCGGTTCATCGCCCACAAACCAATCTTTGGGGGCACAAACGGCCGCCTGCGTCACGGTGCCGCGCACCGGCAGGCTGCCTCCCAGGCAAAAAGAGAGCCAAGCGGCTTGGTTTGCCCGGGAGTTTCCCCACATCATGGGGGAAACATGCGAATTAGAACATCCACAAGATTCCTTTTTGATTGGGTTGTATAACCCTGATTCTGCTGTGGGTGGTTTGGATAGCCTCCCCATCTTCCAGTTGGGCTTGGCCAATGTGACGCTAGAAACACTGACGTGAAGGTGCAAGACCCACCCCACCCCATCTTCAAGTTCATAGTTTGCAGCATCCAGGAGACTGCAAACTTTGTGAAACAAAAGGCAGGTTCGGCGACAACCATCATATTGGAGGCATTGGCACTATGTCAAAATGGATGTATGCCAAAATAGGAACATGTTTAATTCCTTGTCGTTTCCATTCAAACCAACCCAAGCAGGCTACCCTCAACAAAAACAAATTGCCTATGCAGTGCTCCTTGTTTGCTGAGAGCTCTGCGCACGAACACCACTTAACATCTAACGCTGGCACCACAATTTGGAGAGTATGTTTTGAGGATGCCACTTTTAAGTACCCAGCCAAAAGAATTTTGGTAGCGGCGCGCTTGTGCACCACATTTTTCCACACGCTCCGCACAGGTCCACAAGATGCAGCCTTCACCTGAGATCGACGCAATATCGGCGATATCAAAGCGAAGGCTTTGGAACTGCAACTTATGTGATACATCCATCCCCCCTACCTTAAGGGGGACGGGGTTGGGTACCCCACTTCCATTTTGCTAGTCTTCCCTAAAAAGGGAAATGGTGCCATGAACGAAATTCCAGGGGTCACCCCCCACCCCCATTCCATTTCGAAAGGGGGTGCGGATATACATCTACTAAGGCCTCTTTGGGAGAATTAGGGTGGGGGGGACGGGGGGTGGTTGAGGACGTGGATCCTACTTGTAGATGGACAAAATGCAAAATGCACGCCAGGCCAATTGGTAAACAAATTGTGTCCCTCCACAGTGCCACTGGTGGACCTTTGATATGACTACTGGGAGGAGCAGGCCAAGAAGGGATGGCCCCTTTTGACAATTAACTCATGTGCAGGGATTCCTCATGAGAATGGCCTGGAATCATCCGAAGCTAATATTGCCCAAGACATCCTTGGCAATGTGGACTTGGGATTAATCCGGAGGCCCCCACTAGAAAGAGGAACCACCCACAATACTGAAAGGGAACCTCCCCTGATTAGTACGCCAATCCAAGGTTGACATTACCTGTTGAGATGAGACTTCAATTGGAAACCTGGGTCTGTCTCTTTTTATTGTACCCCAAGAAAGCGTTGGTTGAAAAGGAAACCAGAAGGAAACCAGTCGGGGTTCCCTTTACAACCAGAAACCCAACCCGAAGCCGCCAATTCCGAGCCGCTTCTTGCCCTTGAAGTTCTTGGACCCGCCCGCTGGCTGGCCGCCGCCCTGAATCGCGACAGCTCGTTTTCCGGTCCGCGCCAGGAACTGGAAGCGCCAAAGTCCGCTTGACCCGGTGACGGCATGCGTCCCATGAAGTCCCAAAACGGAACGCGCGGGCACGACTGACCGAAGGACCTCTTCGTTAATGGGAGAGCGGGGTTGTGGGGTCGAACGGTTGAAGTCACTTTGTATCCGGTGACTGAACAAAGAGCTTGGGGTTGTCTTTTTCTTTTCGGACCCACGCCTAGTCTGCAATGCCGCCATCCCACCAGAAGGCTCTCAATTCGGGGGCAGGAAATGTGCGGAATGTGAATGCAAAGTGAATGCACTGCGGGCAACAGCAATCAGATTGGTCGTTCTATTGACACTCGAGTTGTTGACAAGTCCAAACGATTTGGGCTCGCCATCCGAACCCTCTATCGCCCGTAGCGGAGCAGCCAGATATGCCACCAGTTCAAGTTCACAAACCAACCCAAATAGACGACTGATTAGATACAGCTTTGCAGCCCACCCAGAAAGCCGTTCTCAGATTCCAACATGAACTCTATGCGTCTGGCGGCCAAGACGAAATAGCTACTTTGCTTGGTGCAATGGCCAGGGAGAACAAACCTCCCTCCTTCTTTCCGAAAAAGACGAGTCAAGATCCCGGTAATGAACCCGGGATGAAAATCCAAAAGATGCACCTACCAATAACATTCGGGGACCCCAAAGATGAAGTTTGGTTTTCCTGTTGGTGTCCCTTTAAACCTGCCTAGAAAGTGTACTGTTTGTAATGTTAATGAACCCCTCCTTTGTTAGGGGGTTGTCTGATGAATCCCCACTAAACCGGGGACACGCCCCAATCAGAGTCAACCAGGCGGGTATGTTCATCCGGGGTCAATATTACTTGCTGCTGCTGGTGCTCAGTATGAGCCTGGGGATTATCTTAAGGAAACCACAGTGGATGTTTTTTGTTTGTTTGTTTTTTTTGTTTGTTCCCGGGGTCATTCCCTCATTCCCTGCTGAGCACCAGCAAGATTCACCTCAAGACAAACCCAAATCGACTTCGGAGTCTTCCGGCGCCTTGGGAAGCTTCTGTCCCTTGTCCTTGGCCTTGGGCGCAGCCACCTTGCCTCATGAGCGAAAAAGCAAAAGCGCCCCAAAGCCGCGCTTTTTTGGGGGAAAAGCATTGCCCTCTTCGGGGGGGGGGGGGGGGCAAAAAAACATTTAAAACCAGTGCCCTGCCCTGCACACCCAACCCCTCCTGGATTTGTGTGGACCATCATAAAAGCTTGAAGAAGAAGCAAGGGTGACAAAACGGCGCCTGTTTGAAGAAGTGGGTAGACCTTTTTGGAGGGTACCCTTTTCTGGTTAGTTTAAACAACTAAAACTAACAGGAAAACCCTTCATTCAGGGGGCGAGGGGGGCGGGGGGTCTCCTAAAAAGCACACATCCAAATGATAGGGGGAAATCCATTCTTGCATGCGCACTGCATTTGCAACTCTCTGGCATATGGGTGGCTCGTCCTGTTTTGAGGGTACCCATGGGGTTATCCAAAACCTCCATTGCTCTAAGATGGCTTCCACTACCCCCAAATCACTACCCCAAGAAAACTTGATTGGGATCAACAGCCACTATATGGCCACGAAAAAGGGTAGTACATTTTCCCCTGAAGACGATTTGGGGGGATGACACAATCTTAGCGCTACAGTTAAACAAAAAAAAAAAAAAAAAAACGAAGCCAACGCGTCCACTGGAATCGACGGAGTCCATTCGCCGATTCGGCGATTCGCCTGCGGGCTTCTTCTGGGTGGCGGCCTGCTTCGCCTTCGCCTCCTCGTCTTATTCTTCAAACCAATAAATCCATTCGATTTGGTCGTCGATGTGGCAGAGATCAAGGAAGCCAAGGAGTTGAAACATCGATATCGGATTGGGATATCGGTTTTCCTGCTTTCTCTTCAAAGCAAGCCGAAAACGGTACCAAGTTGGTTTCGCCAGCCTTCCACAAAGAAGCCCTGCTTTAGGATTTGGAGCCGAAGCTTGGGTGACCTTCCTCACCCAGCAGGAGTTGTCAGGGATTGGCGGATGACCTTTCAGCTTGCTGGGCAAAAGACTTCCAGAGGTACATTTCGTTCGCCCCGCATCTTGGGAATCTGTTTACGGAAACAGCCCAAAGGTGGATACTGGGCTGTTTGTTCCCAGATCTTCTAAAAGTTTAACCTTCAGTGGTTTCGGACAAACCAAACCACTAAACCCGGAAAAAACGCGACACCTAAGGAACCGGACGGCAAAAAAAAACGCCAAGGTTAGGCGGTATTGGGCAATTTGGGTGGATTGTTCATGCCTGGCCCAGGGCATTAAGCTGCCGCTTTGGTCGTCTGTCCGCCGGAAAAGGCGGAAGACCAGTCCAAAAATGTTGCCCTGGTTGCATGGTTTTAAAGGGAAACCAGAAGGAAACCACCCATTTTGGGGGTTTCCCTATCTTGAGACAAATCCATGGTCCAAACCCAAAAGTTCCAGCCGGGCATTTCTTGATCCCAAGCTGACAGCGTTGTCCTGATGCCCCAAGGGAAAACCCTGGGCGTAAAAGTCTCGGGGTGTCCACATGCTTCCATTTGCGCATATGTGCCCTGAACAAAACTGAACATTTCCAATGATAGATTCCCTTTAAACCAAGGAGGGGAAACCAAAAAATGTTCCTAAGCAAATGCAGGAATAGAATCCCAAGCTTGGTTGCTGTTGACCCCTTTACAAAAAGTTGTTTTGTCGGTTTAATAGAAAACCCTTGATTTCCCAAAAGGCTAAAGTCTAAGGATCCGTTACGCGACTCGTCTTGCGGATTGTCCTTGGCTGCCTTCTCGCGCTCCGCCCTGAGCTGGGGTCGTTGGGCCTTCTTCTGCTTGATGTCGTCCAGGGACATGCCTAACGTAAAGAAGAAAAAAGACCGGCCAAACCCGGCTCAGGAGTCGACATCGTGTTTGATTATGGTATGTTGTGTGAGGTGTTCAGGAAATCCAAAGGGAAAGCAATGGAGTTCCAAATCCAAGACATTGCCGGGTTGAGGGGGAGCCGGGTGCTTGAAGCACAGATAGCTAAAAAAAAAAAAAAATGCTTAAACCAACCAGGAAATCTCGCGTTGCACGATACAAGGGCAGGAACCTTTGTGTCCGAATGTGTGCAACGTGAGTGGCGGAGCATGAGATGTTTCACCAAAAATTGTTGTTCCTCTCCCGTTAAAACCGCAAACGGCGAACATGCAGCCACACACTCATACACAGCGTTTCGCTTTACAACCAGGAGGCACACTCCAAGCAACAACACACCTTGCCCAAATAAAAAGAACCACTCCAAAAAGGGATGCAGTTAAAAAAGGACGCACACTCTCGTATGGGTGTTTCCCTCTAAACCCCGAAATAGGAAGGCCGACCCAAGACGCGCCTACCCAACAGTGTCACAATGTGACAACAATGCCAAAACCTGAAATAACGCTATATGGGTACCCTCAGCAAGATGCCACGCATCCTCATGGCTCGTCGTTGTTGAGGCTCGGTACCCTTTTGGGTTTGGTTTCAACGGAACCAAAAAACAACAACCTTTTTTGGAGGGGGGACTAAGAAAAGGCACATCCAGATAATGGTAGATAATCCCAACCAGGCTCACGCCTAAAGATTGAAATCCCACATCCTGACTCTGATGCTCGGGGCCCTGTGAGACCCATGAGACCTTAAGGACAACGGGGCTGGGGAGGTCCCCAAGTCCGTTTTGCCTAGAGAATGGTACCCTCCCTCCAACTAACATCCCATTCTTGTTTTCCTAGTCCTCCCATTCGCCGAGTTGCCCACAATGGCCTTCTGGAACTTCTGGGCCTTGCGGGTCCTCTTCTTAGCGCCCTCCTCCACCTTGCCCTTCTTGTTCCTTAGATGGTCAAACATATTAAGGTTCTCGAAATTGGGGACCCCTCCAGGTAGGGTAGCTTTTGACTTGGTTTCCTTTTAAAACCCTCCAAAAAGGAGTCCCCTATTTTGAGACACCCGCTTTTTATGAGCCATGGTCAAGACTATTGGGTCAAAACTCCTCGAAGCAGGAATCATTATAATGGTGAGGATCCAGCACTGTGGATGACCATCCCTGTTAACCCAGAGTAAATGAACTTGTCATGGGACCATGGCACACAGCATCTACCATACCGTGTGTGGGAAGACCATTTTGGTGTTAAAGACAAAGTTCAGACTTTTTGTTGGCCAATCCGCTCAGGAGGCTAGAAGGGGACATTTCAAAGAACAAGCCCAGGCAGCCTCCGAACCTTGCGGCATTTTGGCGGAACCTTTCCTGAATGCTGAGACAACAAAGCTTCCATCTGTTGAGAAAAAAAAAAGATGCGGCTTAATCCGGGGTTAGCATGAATCACTTTTCGCTCTTTGGAGTGTTTATTCTTCCCGGAGCAAAAGAGCCACTTTTTGCTGGGCACGGTCGGATCCGTGCCCAGCTTTTGTGTAGTGGGGAACCCGACAATGGACTGGTTCCAATTCTTGCTTCTGGCTGGGCGGCAAAGGTTAAGGGGTCCAACCCAAACTGTTTGCAGTCTCTGATCTAGTTTGGTTTGGAGCGTCCACCAAAAGCCAAAAGGGAAATTTAATCCTTTCCTGCTCTTAGGGTTAAGAAATGGGTCATCCTTACCGGGGTGATTGTTCCCCTTCAAGGCGGCACGTATGGCCAGAAACTCAAAAAGTGAGCCTTGGAATTCGGAGATCACCTTTCCGGGCAATCAAATGGGTACCATCAGGCCCATCCAAAGTCGGAACCCTTCCGCGTCCGGCCATGGCTCATCCGCCTCCATGCCTGGGTCCATCGCAGCTTCACCGGCTTGATCCTTCGTTCGGAGGCCAAACGGGAGCGAGACGCCACGGCAAGCGGCGATTGCTGATCAGCCCGTGGAATGAAAACCACACCTCAACATAAAACGAAGCTCCCAGAGGTGCAAAATAACAGAGAACATTGAAGTGTTGCCTGATCTATCCAACTGTGGAACCAGACCTAAAAGATACCTCAAACAGTTGAAATTGTCTTCTATTGAGACTCCTTCCTCTGAGCACTCGATTGGCATGGCCGCTCGAAATGATCTGCCACAAATCCGGGCGACGAATTCACTATGCATTTCAGGAACTGAAGTCCATTTCCACTCTGGCCCTTCGAACAGCCAAAGCCCACAGTAGAAAACTGGCGCTTGCGGCAAGCAAGTGACAGCCCAACTGCTCTACCTCCCTGTTTGGGCTGCGCTGGGGGGGGGGGGGGGGGAGGAGGGGCCAGCACTCAATCAACACGCGGCCTCTGGTGGTAGAGCGAGTCTGCCTGAGCGCAAGTTGCGTGCGATCCGAGCAAATGGGAAGTCTTAACGAGTCTCGTGTGCATCAATCCCTCAACCTCATTGGGTGGTGGTCTGACCGCCCATGAACTTTGGGTTGCAACCCCCCCCCTCCCTGTCCCGCTACACGCAGTTCGGGGAGGTTCTAACGCAAAGCAGTTTCAGGTTTGGCTTTTTGACTTAAAGGACACATAAAACGGGCTGGAAACGGGCGTGGTGCCCTTTGACTGTAACTGGCTAGGTTCCCAGCCCCCCTGAGTATTGAGTTTAATTGGGAACCCTTTGGTGGCTTGGTGGACAATCAGAAATACATTCGTGATTAGATTGATGCAACTACCAGCCAATTGTCGAGGGTGCTCCAACATGAGAACTCATGGCCATCTGTTTCCACCTTTTTGGAAAGCCATCCACAAACGAGTGGATTGTTCTTGAGGGTGACAACCTTTCTTGGTCGTTTTTAAAAAGTACCTTTTCATGTTGAGGGCGAAACCAAAAGGAAGGCCGCCACCTTGGGGGGGGTCCAAAATGGAGGGTTCGTGTTCTTTCGCAGCCTTGGCGGTGATGAAGAAGCTCACCTTCGCGTCCTTCGCGATGAACTTCTGCCCATGGCCCGGGTAGATCCTGCCGAGGCGCCCAGCCACCCAAACCTCCCTTGAGGGGTCCCCTGTTTCAGCGGCTTTCAAGGGAAGTCAAAAGGGAAACCCGAAAACCACGCCCGTTTTGCGGAGTTTTTTTAAAAAATGGCACACCCACATGGGTTCCCACCCGAACATTGGAACATTGCACGCGGAACCAGCCGAGGTTCGGTGGACAACCGATTGGGCTTCAACAGGCCAATTGTTTAAGTCTAAACAAGCCCCTTGCCAAACCACCAGGCTCGATGTTTACATCCACAGGTGGCCTTTCGGCTGAAAATAGATGGATTTCCCTGGAAGTTACATTCTGACACAACCAGGTCGGCCAGGAATCGCCATCTATTTTCGACACAACAACCAAGAAGGAGGACACCTATGCTCCTTGTGTAGCGGTTAGGGTTGGGTTGAACAAGCTTTGAACCCTTCACCCCTCCTACATGACTCGATGGCTCCTCACAATCAAGGCCTCAAAACAAAAGCACGTGCATGTTGGGTGTTGGTGCGCTCGACTGTGTTTGTACGTGTTTGTGCGCGTGTTTTTGTGTTTCCGTGTGTGTGTGTGTGTTTGCGTGTACTTGCATGCGTGCGTGCGTGCGTGCGTGCGTGCGTGCGTGCGTGCGTGCGTGCGTGCGTGCGTGGGCGTGCGTGGGCGTGCGTGCGTGCGTGCGTGCGTGCGTGCGCGTGCGTGCGCGTGCGTGGTTGGTGGGTGGGTGTGTGTGTGTGTGTGTGTTCGTGTGTGTGTGTGTGTTCGTGTGTGTTCGTGTGTGTTTGTGTGTGTGTGTGTTCGTGTGTGTTTGTGTGTGTGTGTGTGTTCGTGTGTGTTCGTGTGTGTTCGTGTGTGTGTGTGTTCGTGTGTGTGTGTGTGTGTGTGTTGTGTGTGTGTGTGTTGTGTGTGTTGTGTTGTGTTGTGTTGTGTTGTGTTGTGTTGTGTTGTGTTGTGTTGTGTTGTGTTGTGTTGTGTTGTGTTGTGTTGTGTTGTGTTGTGTTGTGTTGTGTTGTGTTGTGTTGTGTTGTGTTGTGTTGTGTTGTGTTGTGTTGTGTTGTGTTGTGTTGTGTTGTGTTGTGTTGTGTTGTGTGTTGTGTTGTGTTGTGTTGTGTTGTGTTGTGTTGTGTTGTGTTGTGTTGTGTTGTGTTGTGTTGTGTTGTGTTGTGTTGTGTTGTGTTGTGTTGTGTTGTGTTGTGTTGTGTTGTGTTGTGTTGTGTTGTGTTGTGTTGTGTTGTGTTGTGTTGTGTTGTGTTGTGTTGTGTTGTGTTGTGTTGTGTTGTGTTGTGTTGTGTTGTGTTGTGTTGTGTTGTGTTGTGTTGTGTTGTGTTGTGTTGTGTTGTGTTGTGTTGTGTTGTGTTGTGTTGTGTTGTGTTGTGTTGTGTTGTGTTGTGTTGTGTTGTGTTGTGTTGTGTTGTGTTGTGTTGTGTTGTGTTGTGTTGTGTTGTGTTGTGTTGTGTTGTGTTGTGTTGTGTTGTGTTGTGTTGTGTTGTGTTGTGTTGTGTTGTGTTGTGTTGTGTTGTGTTGTGTTGTGTTGTGTTGTGTTGTGTTGTGTTGTGTTGTGTTGTGTTGTGTTGTGTTGTGTTGTGTTGTGTTGTGTTGTGTTGTGTTGTGTTGTGTTGTGTTGTGTTGTGTTGTGTTGTGTTGTGTTGTGTTGTGTTGTGTTGTGTTGTGTTGTGTTGTGTTGTGTTGTGTTGTGTTGTGTTGTGTTGTGTTGTGTTGTGTTGTGTTGTGTTGTGTTGTGTTGTGTTGTGTTGTGTTGTGTTGTGTTGTGTTGTGTTGTGTTGTGTTGTGTTGTGTTGTGTTGTGTTGTGTTGTGTGTGTGTGTGTGTGTGTGTGTGTTGTGTGTGTGTGTGTGTGTGTGTGTTGTGTGTTGTGTGTTGTGTGTTGTGTGTTGTGTGTTGTGTGTTGTGTGTTGTGTGTTGTGTGTGTGTGTGTGTGTGTGTTGTGTGTTGTGTGTTGTGTGTTGTGTGTGTGTGTGTGTGTTGTGTGTTGTGTGTTGTGTGTGTGTGTGTGTGTGTGTTGTGTGTTGTGTGTTGTGTGTTGTGTGTTGTGTGTTGTGTGTTGTGTGTGTGTGTGTGTGTGTGTTGTGTGTTGTGTGTTGTGTGTGTGTGTGTTGTGTGGTGTGTGTGTGGTGTGTGTTGTGTGTTGTGTGTTGTGTGTTGTGTGTTGTGTGTTGTGTGTTGTGTGTTGTGTGTTGTGTGGTGTGTGGTGTGTGGTGTGTGTTGTGTGGTGTGTGTTGTGTGGTGTGTGTTGTGTGTTGTGTGTTGTGTGTTGTGTGTTGTGTGTTGTGTGTTGTGTGTTGTGTGTTGTGTGTTGTGTGTTGTGTGTTGTGTGTTGTGTGTTGTGTGTTGTGTGTTGTGTGTTGTGTGTTGTGTGTGTTGTGTTGTGTGTTGTGTGTTGTGTGTTGTGTGTTGTGTGTTGTGTGTTGTGTGTTGTGTGTTGTGTGTTGTGTGTTGTGTGTTGTGTGTTGTGTGTTGTGTGTTGTGTGTTGTGTGTTGTGTGTTGTGTGTTGTGTGTTGGGTGTTGTGTGTTGTGTGTTGTGTGTTGTGTGTTGTGTGTTGTGTGTTGTGTGTTGTGTGTTGTGTGTTGTGTGTTGTGTGTTGTGTGTTGTGTGTTGTGTTGCGTTGCGATGCATTGCGTTGAGCCTTCGTGTTTGCCTTGCGTTTGTGTTGTGTTGGTGCAGTGGGTGTGGGTGTGGGGTGGTTGGTGTGGTGTGGGTGTGGGTGGGTGTGGGTGTGGGGTGGGTGTGGGTGGGTGTGGGTGGGGAGTGGGTGTGGTGTGGGTGGGGGTGGGCGGTGGGGGTGGGGTGCGGGGCGGGTGCGGTGCGGAGTGCGGGTGCGGGTGCGGGTGCGGGTGCGGGTGCGGGTGCGGTGGCGGGTGCGGGTGCGGTGCGGGGTGCGGGTGCGGATGCGGGTGCGGGTCGCGGGTTCCGGGTGCGGGTGCGGGTGCGGGTGCGGGTGCGGTGCGGGCCGGGTGCGGGGTGCGGGTGCGGGTGCGGGTGCGGTGCGGTGCGGGTGTGCGGGGGTGCGGGTGCGGTGCGTGTGCGTGTGCGGGTGCGGGTGCGGGTGCGGTGCGGGTGCGTGTGCGTGTGCGGGTGCGGGTGCGTGTTCGTGTGCGTGTGCGTGTGCGTGTGCGCGTGCGCGTGCGCGTGCGCGTGCGCGTGCGCGTGCGCGTGCGCGTGCGCGTGCGGGTGCGGGTGCGGGTGCGGGTGCGGGTGGG